GATCTGTTTAAATGTTTCAAACACAGAGAGAATCTGTGTCGTTTGTTCATTTGTTTTTCAAAATAAAAAAAATTAAAAATAAGAAAATGAAAAAAAACAACAATTTTCTTCATTATTTGTCTCCAAAACCAAAATGAAAAAACAAATAATGATTCTTTTTTTTTTTTCAGTTTTTCATTTTGTGTTTAAATGAAAAATGGAAAAAATGGATAACGGACTAAACCAGGACTAAACCAGGACTAAACCAGGACTAAACATGGTCTAAATCAGGACTAAACCTGGTCTAAATCAGGACTAAACCTGGACTAAACCGGACTAAAGGTCTAACGGACTAAACCAGGACTAAACAGGACTAAACCAGGACTAAACCAGGTCTAAACCAGGACTAAACCAGGTCTAAATCAGGACTAACCGGACTAAAAACAGGACTAAACAGGACTAAACGGACTAAACCAGGACTAAACCAGGACTAAACCAGGACTACTAAACCAGGACTAAACACTAAAACCAGGACTAAACCTGAACCACTAGACCAGGACTAAACCAGGACTAAAAACCAGGTTAAACCAGGACTAACAGGACTAAAACCAGGTCTAAGGACTACTAAAGACCAGGACTAAACCAGGACTAAAACCAGAAAACTAAAAACTGGACCAGGGGACCAGGACTTAAACCAGGTCTGGTTCAGGATCAGACCAGGACTGGTTAGGACTGAAAACGGTTTAGTCCTGGTTCAGTCTTGTTTTAGTCCTGGTTTAGTCCTGGTTTAGTCCTGGTTTAGTCCTGGTTTAGTCCTGGTTTAGTCCTGGTTCAGTCTTGTTTTAGTCCTGGTTTAGTCCTGGTTTAGTCCTGGTTTAGTCCTGGTTTAGTCCTGGTTTAGTCCTGGTTTAGTCCTGGTTCAGTCCTGGTTTAGTCCTGGTTTAGTCCTGGTTTAGTCCTGGTTTAGTCCTGGTTTAGTCCTGGTTTAGTCCTGGTTTAGTCCTGGTTTAAAGTCAAAAACTGGTTTAAAACAAATCTCTATCTGTTTTTTTCATTTTGGTTTTGGACACAAATTATGAAGAAAATCTTTTTTTTTTTTTTGGTTTTATTTTGAAAAACGAATGAACGAACGACCCACAGATTGGAGGTGTTTACCCCAGAATCTAAATAAAATATTACACTACAATAATAATAATTGTAAAACTGACTCCAGATCTGTTTTTTTGTGCACAAAGCTCTGACGTGTTTTACCTGCTCTGCTTCTGTGTTGATTCTTGTGTTGGTTCACGATTAATCAGTAGAAAAATGCATAAAAACTATAAAGAAGATTTGATTGTTTTAAAAAAAAATCAGATCTGGTTCCACACGTTTCCTCGCTCTAACGCCGTTTCCTCACAAACAAACCCGCAGTTGTGTTTTATTTCATTCATTTCATTTTTTTATTTGTTTCATTTATAAAAGATGAACCAAAATAACTATGTTTTATGCATCAATGTGAATGAAAAGGAGCAGAAAGAAGTTTAAACTTGTATTATCTGCCCCTTTTCACACAAAATAAACATGTGGGTCCAGTCAAGTGTTAACGGAGGGAAACAGGGTCAGATTTTTGACATTCAAATGTCTCTTATTCAGAAACTAGAGGAACTATTGAAATAAGTAAAGTATCAGAATGTAGGAAAGAGTTACACTCCAACAGGGTCAAGTTAAACCTGTGAGATTCTTTCAAGTTCAAGACAAAAAATTAAAAAACTCATGTCGGTAACGGAGGGAATGAAATATGCAGCACTTTTTGGTCAATAAATCCAAACAGTGATAACTCTTGGTTCTCACTTACATATCCTTAACAAACTGGTTTGAATATTTGCTTCATATAGTTTTCTACCATATGGTACAAGATTAGGTTGAAAAACCTCTGACTTTTTGACTCATGAGATTTTTTATTAAGAAAGTTCATGGTAACGGAGGGAAAAGTAACGGAGGGAAAATTGTGTACAAACAAGTAGAAGGTGCAGGATTTTACATCATTTGTCACTTTTTTCTTCTGAAAACTTTAATATTACTTCAAATGAAAGGAAACTATTTCTATAAAATATGTCAGTCCTTCCAAGAACATTTTTATCATTTTAAATAATTTATTATTATTTTTTTAATCCTGTCCCTTCATCAACAGTTCAAAGATGGAATAACACAAGATATGATGAAATACATCCATTTATTTACATGATTTTCAGGTCTTTGAAATTTTGGGAAATAATTTTTGTTCCATGTTTCATACATGGTCTGTTTAAAAACAGATGGAACTTTAGAACCAAAAATGGTCCAGAAAAAAGGTCAACAGTTTGATAAACTAGAGTACATATGTATCTGTTCAATACATTTTTTTTTGAACAGATTTTAAAACTCCAGCTCTGTTTTTGACGAGAGGAAACAACATTCTGTCATAGTTTAGAGTCTGTTCTGTGTAACTTTTAATTATATCTTTTTTAACTTGTTTTTAACTAATTTGTCGTGTGTGTTGTGTGTGTTGTGTGTGTGTGTGTGTGTGTGTGTGTGTGTGTGTGTGTGTGTGTGTGTGTGTGTGTGTGTGTGTGTGTGTGTGTGTGTGTGTGTGTGTGTGTGTGTGTGTGTGTGTGTGTGTGTGTGTGTGTGTGTGTGTGTGTGTGTGTGTGTGTGTGTGTGTGTGTGTGTGTGTGTGTGTTGTGTGTGTGTGTGTGTGTGTGTGTGTGTTGTGTGTGTGTGTGTGTGTGTGTGTGTGTGTGTGTGTGTGTGTGTGTGTGTGTGTGTGTGTGTGTGTGTGTGTGTGTGTGTGTGTGTGTGTGTGTGTGTGTGTGTGTGTGTGTGTGTGTGTGTGTGTGTGTGTGTGTGTGTGTGTGTGTGTGTGTGTGTGTGTGTCGTGTGTGTTGTGTGTGTGTGTGTGTGTGTGTGTGTGTGTGTGTGTGTGTGTGTGTGTGTGTGTGTGTGTGTGTGTGTTGTGTGTGTGTGTGTGTGTGTGTGTGTGTGTGTGTGTGTGTGTGTGTGTGTGTGTTTGTCGTGTGTGTGTGTGTGTGTGTGTGTGTGTGTTGTGTGTGTTGTGTGTGTTGTGTGTGTGTGTGTGTGTGTGTGTGTGTGTGTGTGTTGTGTGTGTGTGTGTGTTGTGTGTGTGTGTGTGTGTGTGTGTGTGTGTGTTGTGTGTGTGTGTGTGTGTGTGTGTGTGTGTGTGTGTGTGTGTGTCGTGTGTTGTGTGTGAGTGTGTGTTGTGTGTTACTCGTCCAGCTCAGCCCCAGCGCCTGCGCCTGCTCCTGCGCTCTCTCTCCCCGCGCTCGGGCGCTCTCTCCCCGGACGCGGGGGGCTCGGACGGGGCGCTCCCTCCGCTGGTGGGACACGAGTCGGTGGCGCTGGAGAAGCTGCTCTCCGTCGGGGGGGAGGAGGATGGGCTGCTATGGGAGAGAGAGGAAGCGGGCAGAGGGAGAGAGAGAGAGAAGGAGGGACCGGCTTCTGCACCTCCAGCGTTCACTCAGCAAAGGTAAAACACCAAGAACCACCTCCGTTTATCAACATGTTTTTACATCTGTTCATGCGACGAACGTCAGACTCAACTGAACAGAAACTTTCTCTCCTGAAATAAGATTTGATTTGAGTTTTTTCCCTTGTTGATGTCGTAATTTCAGATGATTTTAACATTTTATGGAAGATGTATTATTTCTTAAAGACATTTCCAAAATAGAAATCCACAAATCCACAAATCCGTGTGTCGTTCGTTCAGTCGTTTTTCAAAATAAAACCAAAAATACGAAAAAAACAAACAAAAAAACAAAAAAACTGTTTTCTTCATTATTTGTCTCCAAAACCAAAATGAAAAAACAAAAAATTATTTGACTAAACCAGGACTGAACCAGGACTGAACCAGGACTAAACCAGGACTGAACCAAGACTAGACTAGGACTGAACCAGGACTAAACCAGGACTAAACCAAGACTAGACTAGGACTGAACCAGGACTAAACCAGGACTGAACCAAGACTAGACTAGGACTGAACCAGGACTGAACCAGGACTAAACCAGGACTAAACCAAGACTAAACCAGGACTGAACCAAGACTAGACTAGGACTGAACCAAGACTAGACTAGGACTGAACCAGGACTGAACCAGGACTAAACCAGGACTAAACCAAGACTAAACCAGGACTGAACCAAGACTAGACTAGGACTGAACCAAGACTAGACTAGGACTGAACCAGGACTAAACCAGGACTGAACCAAGACTAGACTAGGACTGAACCAGGACTAAACCAGGACTGAACCAGGACTGAACCAGGTCTGTTAGTCCTGGTTTAAGTTATAATCCTGGTTTAGACCTAGTTTAGGTGATATTCCTGGTTTAGTCCTGGTTTAGTCCTGTTTAGTCCTGGTTTAGTCCTGGTTCAGTCCTGGTTTAGTCCTGGTTTAGTCCTGGTTTAGTCCTGGTTCTGTTCTCAGGGTCGGGGAGGAGCAGGGTTGTGTTTTTCAGACTCCTCCTCCGTCTGTGGACTTCAGCAGCTCCAGCAGATCCTCCCTGAAGATCTTCTCCTCCCAGGACGACGTCAAGACCAAGAAACTGCACACGAGACACAGCTGCACGGGTCTGTACTACAAATACTACTACAAATACTACAAATACTACAAATACTACAAATACTACAAAATACTACAAATACTACAAATACTACAAATACTACTACTACAGACCCAAGAAACTGCACACGAGACACAGCTGCACAGGTCTGTACTACAAATACTACTACAAATACTATAAATACTACAGATACTACAAATACTACATATACTGCTTGTCCTGAGTTGCCTGTAGTTGCGTTTGTCAGACACTAGAGGGCAGCAGATTAATCCCGAACAGCTCATGTGGATCTGAAGTGTCATAAACTTCAGCTGTGTTATTAATGCAGTGTTTTCTCTGTGTGTGTGTGTGTGTTGTGTGTTGTGTGTGTGTGTGTGTGTGTGTGTGTGTGTGTGTGTGTGTGTGTGTGTGTGTGTGTGTGTGTGTGTGTG